ATTATAAATTTGGTCATCGTGATTAGGCCGTGGGTTATTATTATTAAGTTGTTGGTCATTATGGTTCAAACTGTTGACATCTTGCAGATTCACATAGTTCAAATTATTATTGGTATGATCCAAGTTATGGTAAAATTTAGGAACATTATAATCATTTAAATAAGTTTTCTTGGCACGTATATATAAGTTATGTGACTGTTGCGGTATACTTTTCTTAAGCCTCTTTCTAAGAGCAAATATAGTTCCGTGTATATAAAAGAAAACCTGAAGTGAAAGCCAAGTATGGAAATAATGACAATAACACAATCTGAGATTTGGAAAAAAAACAATCTATACCAGGGTAAATACGTACTTTTCTTGTAAATTAAGAGAATTTGAATATATATAGTAAGATAAGCACCAACCAAAGTTTAGATAAGATAGGCACAAACCAAAGTTGGTTATCATTATTTCTGTCACTATGTTTATTATGTTTCTTTATATGAAGCTTCCCAATATCGTATTTATTTAAATTGCATGAGAAAATATTCAAATTTTTAATTTTTGTTGAATATACAAACGTAGAGAATAAAAAAGTCTTATTAAACAAATTTTCTTTATATATACGATATCATATTAAAACTCCGATTATACATACGTGTGCATATTTACAATTGATCAAAACGTATTAAAAAAATAGTTACACGATATTAATCATAACATGTTACTTGTAACAGTTTATTAGTATAATAAACTATATCAGACATAATTAATCAATAACACCCCATGTTACAATTAATTTTCATATCAATTTTTAATCACATTATAGTATGTTTTGATTAATGATACCTTATGAGTAGATAAATGATTCATATAAAATAATTTGAATTTTTTTATCTTTTTCGCTTAGAACTAAAATGCCACCCAAAAGAGCGTCAACCAGTAAGCGTTGTTTTCTTGGTTTTATTAATTATTAAGTTGGCTCAATTTAATTTCTATCAATAGGCAAACCAACAAGAAGTACGAAAAAAAAAGTAATATTTCACAAACAGAACCAGAAGTATCTCAACCTTTAAATAATTCGCAAACATCTAAAAAGCCACGAAAATCACATCAAGCAAAGGGTAAAGGTAATTTTTTTTGTCTATTTCAAATAATTTCTGTTACTTTTAAATAATAATATTTTAATATGATATTAATGTATTATAATAAAAATGAAATTTTCTTAAAAATTATATTTTTGAAAAAGAAAATGTAAATCCGAATAATGAGGAAACAACTTTAAGATCTCCAGCTACTTCAAATCAACTGCAAAATTTACAGTCTGAACAATATGCTGAACAGTATTGTCAACAAAGTTATGCTCCGCTATAGAACCACATTATATTGAAGATCAGCAGATTCAAAACCAAAATACATCTTTTCTTGCTGCTCAACAAAGTCATGCACCCGCTATAGAACCATATTATATTGAAGATCAGTGGATTCAAAACCAAAATACATCTTTTCTTGCTGTTTCAAGAGTTCAACCAAATGGGTCTGAAATTGACCCTTTTTCTCAACACCCCAGCGGTTCTAATGAACATATGTCTGAATATGAAGAAGAGTCTTCAGAAGATAGATCATCGGAGGATGAAATTTTTTCTTCACTTAACCAGTATAATCTGTCCTCTTCAAATATTCAAAATGCTGGTCCTTATACAAGAATCTAACAAAATGAAGTTTATATGACAGTTTCAACTCCACGTAATGAACTTTCTTTTCAAGATGAAGCACATCTTCTTCGATGGTTAGAAACACGTAAAATCTTGTTTTACATGCATTAAATGCAATTTGTTCATCATCGCTTGTTATATAAAGCCAGATTTGTTTTATCGTTAATTGCTTGAATTATGATGTTGATATATATGTACAATAATGATAATAATGCAGATACATACGTACAATAATAATCAATTGATTAATAATTGTGCATTACTTTCATTATAATAACTTGTTCAAGTGAAAAATTATTTATATATATAATAAATAATATCAATAATTTCAGTTACTACTCTGGCTAAGTAATTCTTAATATCATTATTATCATCCCATACTGCCTTTAGTACCCCTCTATCTAATACCCTTTTAAATAAAACCCGGATACATCACAAAAAAAAAAAAA